TTCGATTCTGATTGTCTCCAGGTTGACTCAGCCTTCCGTCCTTCTGAAGTGGGTAAAAGGAGGACCCAGATTGTTGGGGGAAAGAGGCTGACTCTGTAAACTGGTTTAAAAAGCACTGTGAAGTGGGATAGAGGTCTAAGTGCTATTGCTAGGTGGAGAGAGAGGAAGGAAGGAAGGAAGGAAGGAAGGAAGGAAGGAAGGAAGGAAGGAAGGAAGGAAGGAAGGAAGGAAGGAAGGAAGGAAGGAAGGAAGGAAGGAAGGGCCGTGGTGTCACAGCGGTTGGAATGCAGCATTACAGGCTAATTCTGCCCACTGTCAGGAGTTCGATTCTGATTGTCTCCAGGTTGACTCAGCCTTCCGTCCTTCTGAGGTGGGAGGACCCAGATTGTTGGGGCTCTATAGGCCGGCTCTGCCAACCGCTCAGAGACCCGGCCTTTAAAAAGCACTGGGAAGCAGGATAGAGGTCCAAGGGCGATGGCTCTTCCGCAGGCAATTCTTGTGCTGTTGTGTTACCAGGGTTGTTGGAGAGCCAGCTGCCCGACCCGGAAGCGAAGTGCTGTGACGTGCAGTGGGACTCCTGCGATCCCTACCCAGACCGCAGCAACAACACCTCCACCACATCCCCCGAGTCGGAGTCATCCCACAACCCCCGCCATGACGGCCCCCATCACCAGCAAGAGCAGCGGCGGCAGCAGCGGCAGAAGGAGGAGGAGCAGCAGGAGCAGAAGCAGCAGCACTACCACCTGTACTACCACCACCACCAGTACCCTCCCCCGTCTCTGCTGCCGGTCTCTGCAGGGTCTCGCCTCAGCCACAGCAAAATCCGGCTCTGCGTCCTGGTCCTCATGCTCCTGCACACCATGGTCTCCTTCTCCGGTGTGCACAGCAGCGAAGGCCTGAGCCTGGACGTCCTTCCCGCCGTGGAGGAGAGCACCGCCAGGGACGAGTGACCGAGCTCGAGGGCAGCTCCTCAGGCAAAAGGAAAGGGCGGGGAAGGCGCCTGCGGGGGAGGGGAGGGGCACTCCTTATACCTCTTTGGGGGGCACCGGTTGGGTGACATGCCATGCACAGGCCCACCCCCCACGTGGAAACCTCCCCCACCAAGAGCAACTCCTCGCAGGGCCACCCTGGGATGCCCAGAGGGCCTGTGTGGAAACACAGCCTCCCAGAGGGCTCCACGAGCTCCTGGCCTGAAGCTGCGGAAGCCAGGCACGGAAGGGGCAGGAGGGAAGGTGGAGCAGGTGGTCTCCTGCAAAGGCCAGCGCGAGGGCCCCCCCTCCCCCGGGAGAGACCCCTGCTTCTTCTGCCACCACCTATCCTGGGTAAGGTTCCTGGCCGGGATGTTTCCACTCCAGAGTGAGCAACTGGCCTGTGGCAACGGCAGAAGCAGTAGCTTGACCCCAAGGTCCAAGTCCTACGCGAGGCCCGTCCCAGGCAACCCAGGGGTGATGACAGGGTCCCTCCCTTCCCTCTTTCTTAGACCTCTCTGGCTCCTCCCCCCCTTCTCTGACCAAGAGCTGCAAGAAGTGCTGAACGGACCTTCCCGGGCTTCCGGTTGAGCCCGGGCCCAGGAGAAGTCAGCGGCAGTAGCTTGTGCAGTCTGGGGTCCCACGTTCCCAGAAGGGCTGAATTCCTTCACTGTCTGCCTATATCATCTCTGTACGATGTCCTCAAACACATGAAATACCTGCATTTCCCTGAAAGAAAGACGAGGCTTTTCTCCAAGGGGATTACTTTCAAAATTGGAGGGTTAGTCTTAGATTTGTTGAGAATATGCCAATAGAAGCCCGTTTCTTTTCTGTTCTTTTTCGTTGAGTTAGTTAATTAGTTTTGCAGGAGAAGGGGGATTATCAGCCATGCTGGCTCAGGAATTCAGGGAGTTGAAGTCCACAAGTCTTAAAGTTGCTAAGGTTGGAGACCCCTGCTCTAAAAGGTAGACATGCTGACTTTTGCACAATGGTAGGAAGTTAGAAATGCCTCTCTCCTATTTTCTAGCACCCACACAAGAAGATTATAGTTGACTTCCAAGTGGAGCCAGAATGTCCAAGCAAAAAAACTCTGAATAGGCCCACAACATATTTCCTGTGAGAAATAACCAGCTCAGATGTTTATTATTATTATTATTATTATTATTATTATTATTATTATTATTATT